CGCGGCCACTGCTGCAGGTAACGCGGCTCGCGCGGCCGACGGCGCTGCGCAAGATATCCGTCGTGGCCTTCCGATGAGCGCGGCCCTCTGCTCCATTATACCTTTTATAGTGGTCGTGCCTATACAAACAGAAAATGCATAAATTGCAGGACAAGTTTGTCAGCGAAGTTAATTAGACCATTTGGTTCTGCATGTCGACGATGTGGATGCGCTTTAAAGACGCGGACCGGGAATTCACAGCGCACACCTGTCTTTTCCCAGTCCCCGTCTTCAAAGTGCACCCACATAGTCTATGTGAAGGAGAAAACTGAAGTTGTTCAATTCAGCTTTTCGACTAAAACTGAGAACCTTCCTCCTGTTGAACCCCGAACATATTTGTATTTTCGTCTAAGCACATAACCTCAGGATAAAACGTGTATTTCAGCGTCTGTGTCACACTGGGCACTTTTTTAAGGACATCAGCGGCGGTCGGAATCACTTGAGATCCGAAGTGTTCTTGTGACTGAGAAATTACAAAATTTACTGATGTGATGACGTAAACTGCGGCTGCAGGGTCCCGCGAACTATTATGTTTTACTCACAAGTAAGCTATCCATGAACCAAATTTTAAAGTTGAATCTACCTAAGCCGGCAGTTCATCTTCACACCCAAAAGATAAATGAGCTTGAATGCGGCGATGTTCATTAGCGACAGAAAGACAGACGAGAGTCATTTGCTCGCACAGATGAGAGCTGAGTCGCCGACGTCACTTTCGGAAAAATCAAATGCAACGACAACGAAGCGTGGACATCACGGCGTACACTTTGCGGCGATTAATGTTAAGCATGGCTACTTCGTGTCCCGTGTTGTTTCGAACGGAATGCATCATTGATATAGCTCGAACTATAAAATAACCACCTTTGCGATGGATTTTCAGTGTTAGCCTTCACGTTTTTCTACCCATTTTTCGTGTCAGTACACTTATCTGCCACGGGTGGAAGACGTGACTGACTGATGTGTTCCCGGTAACGAGGGACTTTGACTAGTCCAACGTCTGAGTATCACCTCTGTGCCATTAGTCTGCGCTGAGCTTTACATTACCTTAGATGAAATCGGCAGAACAAACCACGCGCTCTTGGTGGGAATCCAGCTTTCTTGCGAGATTGCTGCAATGCAGGCACTCTTTCTATGTAGCATATAAAATTAATTCAGGCATGTTGACTGCATCCTGCTTTGACACAGCATTGCTGTTGCCAGCGCTTCATCAAAATCATTTTATCCGCATAAAACATCTGAACACAAGCAGCCGCGACCAGCAAAAAATGCTAAAACCACGCAAAAACAAGCTAAATCGGAAGTTTCCAGGGGTGGTTTCCCGGTGAACGCACAATGTTGCCAGAGACCGGCAGGCTCTGGCGAAACTGTTTATAGCATTCTCTAGAATGCTATAGAAAAAATTCTACTTAATTCTATAGAATGCTATAGGATTCTAATGAATGCTTTCTAAAGTATTCTATATTAAAAAAAGAAGGGGACTCATGCATTAGTCAAAGACCTATATATTTACACGAAAAAGAAGAAATCCAAATCAGTAGTATGTTTGTTTGAATTGATTTTTGTCGCACCTGCGCAGTTACCGGTAGCGTAAAATTGTTAATGACGTCGAAACGGTCCCTCACTGGCCCCTCTGCACATGTTCTGTATGTTTATCTTATGTGTTCAGATAATTTGTATATTTCAATAAATCTTCATTTGAGAGTCACCGCTTGTTTGTGTCCCTTCTCTTCGTCCCATGAGTTTGTGCGCTATTACTACCTATAATGTATTACCAACTAGCCCAACTATTAGTCTTGCTTCAATATTTCAGGAGCCTGCAGATGTTCGGGCCATCTGGGAGAGCAGCAACATGAAACATTAGATTGTCGCCGTGCCTCCCCTGCATGCCCTCCTCCCAAGCTGCTCAACACTGCATGTAGCGCTGGCTTTGTCGTGAAAATTTATTAGTTTGTTTTTGTTCAACAGATAATGTCACAATCAGCAGATTTCCACAATTGCAGCCAATGGCAAGCTAAGAATATATGGGGTCAATAGGGAGTTTCGCAACTCCTATTGTTGAAGAACTCTGGTTTGAACATGCTGAATTGCCAAAAGAGGTGTACATGTAAGGGCTCGTTTTTTTTTTTAGACACAATATTAATGAGACCTAACAGGCAATCATGGCTAAGGTACTTGGCTGCTGACCCGCAGGTTGCGGGATCGAATCCCGGCTGCGGCGGCTGCATCTCTGATGGAGGCGGAAATGTTGCAGGCCTGTGTGCTCAGATTTGGGTGCACATTGAAGAACCCCAGGTGGTCAAAATTTCTGGAGCCCTACGGGCATCTCTCATAATCATATAGTGGTTTTGGGACGTTAAACCTCGCATATCAATCAATCATTCAACATGCATTCATGCCAAGGAAAGTATAGCGGAGGTTATTATAAGTAATTGTTATGTAAACCTGAAGAAATAAAGGTGGACGAAAAGATAGCTCGCCGTGGGCAGGGACCAAACCTGCGAACTTCGAATAAGGTTTTCGATGCTCGACCAACTGGGTTACCGCGGCGGCTATCGCCCCGTCCACTTTATGTGGTATGTATGTGCATTAAACGTGGGAGCGTTAGTCAGCGCCACCTGTAGCCATGACGGAGAGCCATGGCTGTGGGAGGCGCTAAAACAAGTTTATCACTTGTTTTAGTAGCTTCTGCGGCCGCTCACAAAATTGTTTTCGTTGGTGAAACAGACAGAAACCAGCCCGCCAAGAAATACATTGGCCAGTTAAGGGTTCCGAATGCCATCTCCTGATGTCGATGTCTTGACCTCTTTACGGTTTTTGAACAGAGCAAAACTGTGATTCGGCCTAGTTGGAACAAATCCATCTTGAAATTTTTGCACAAGCACATGGGGACACAGAAAGGAAGACAAATGGGCGCCCATTTGTCTTCTGTGTCCCTCTGTGCTTGCAAAAAATTTCAACATCAACAGAGCACACAGTACACAGGAATGTAAACAAATAGAAGCCAACTTATTGTGTCTTCTATGCAGCAAGCCAGTTGACGAAACTTACATTAGAGAGTTATAGTTTAGCATTAGCATGATAGCAGGGGTTGAAAGGATAGCGTTACCATGCTGCAAACCTTTGTTGCGGACAGTGCATTTTAATTTAGCAGGATAGTGTTTGCCTCCCCAGGATGTGACAGTGGCATCACCTAGCGGAGGGTGAATGCGTAAAAAAACTGAAAATAAAAAACTGGGAATGCTTGCCTGTATCCTGCATGGAACAATAGAACTTTTTTTTAGTAACAATAAAATCAGTATTAGCCATGTACCAAAAGCAAAAATCTGTATTTTGCAGATTTGTTACAGTAAGCTTTTCCTACAGAATTTTGAATTTTGAAGTGATCTAAAAACTATGCCACGATATTCATAGTAATCGGTCGCTGAAGCTACCTGAAGGCAAGTGAAGGTAATTTACCCAGTTATTTGCTATGAAAAGTAAATCTTTCGGCATCAGCACTTAGTTAAGTTTGAAGCCGGCATCCGAAATGTTGCCATGCTTTACGTACACTGCCTTGATCATGTAAACACGATAGCGTTAAATCTGAAAAATAGTATTTGTGGGATAAAAGCTACAAGTTGTCTAGTGTACTGCGCATTTGCACCCGCTATTCATTAGGGCTGTTACTCTGTTGAGCCCGCTAAACTATAACTGTTTGATGGTTTCTTGGGTGAAGTGTCAAAAAAAAAAAAAAAAAAAAGAAGGATCTTGCATCGGAGGGAGCCACTCCCACAGGGCTCCTTGTAGAGTGCATGAAGTTGACTGCTTGCAACTCGAGGTGCAAGCAACTGTACTGCACAATGAGGCCAAACTCTCAGCGGCTGCTGTACTAACTCAAGAGCTGAGAGAACTGCTAGATGTTATCCCTGTAAATGTTAACTGTGTGTATTTTCACCATCATGATTAAGGCGTGTGAGATGTTTGAAGCACAGTGTGAAAGTGGGTTGAGGCTTCTTTTCGTCAAAAAATTCAATTTTAGGAATCATCTGATTAGAGAATTTTTTTATCTTTCAGAAATTATGACACTTGGGCACTTGCAGTTTCAAAAATAATTTTTCGACCTTTTTCTCTGACACGCTTTCGTAAAATGCATGCGTAATTTCAGCATTTTTCCCAAGAATCATTTTTGGAGTTGTGTACGGCTTTCTTTGGAACTACCTGGCGTAAGCAAATGAAATTATCACATAGGTTACTTAGTGACACTTGCCTAACTGGAACTGAAAGTGCTAGCCTAGGTGCATCCGTACTTTTTAGGATAAAAAAAAAAACATTTGTAACTAGCATTTTTCATAGGTTGATTAACATAAAAATATCAATTTTAGTTCCACTTTTGTAAAGCTACCTTGTAGCTACCTTTGTGCAAAACAGCAATGATCTGCAGGTAGTAGATCCTAATAAAGACGTATAAAATATATTTCATAAGAAACACTGAACACAATTTGAAACTAATTCTGAGCTCCAGTGAACTTGCGCCAACATTTAAAATACCTGGTTAATTTTGCATTCATGGCTTTTATTACTGCTACTACTGTAAAGCCAGATTTTGAAACTCGCTTTCCACGTCTCGCCCCGCCTTTACAGATTCGGAGTATTTAAAGTGAGGAGGTGCACAGCTCTTCATTTGCCAATGGTCTTTAATGATTGTGCAAATACTACATTTGGCATAGTCAAATACATGTGCTTAGTTTTGTCAGCACTGGTAATGCAATTTGATTCAACTTTATGATTTTTTTTCAGCATGATCCCATTCCACCAGATCCTCTTAGATCATAATGCATTCACTTTGGGGCTTTTTTGTTTTGGAAAATGACTTTTGTTGAGTGAGCACAAAAGATTGATGCCAATTCTTGTCCCTTGCAGTAAGGTAGCGTGTAATAATGAGGCAGTGTGCAACCTGTGTTCCCTGTGTGTGGCAATGTGTGCAGTACAACGTGATCCCGCGGGCAGTGCTGTCGCTGAAGGTGCTGGCCGAACTTCCCATCATTGTGGTGCTCATGTACCAGCTCTACAAGCAGAGCGTGCATGACGATGTAGCCGAGTTCATACCCCTCATTCTCAACACAATCACCCTCCAGCCGCTGCCCCAGCACAGGTATTTCTTTCTTTGATTCTGTGTATGTGTGCACTCGCTGTAGGGATGCTATTATTTCATGTATAAATTCGTTGGCACGTTGTGGCGCTTCTTTCGAATCAGCTCCAGTTAGGTTTACCAGCCGATAAGGGGCACTGGTTTCTCTTAGGTTACGGTTAGTGCAAAGCCGCCAACAGCACTGCATGGTTGGTGGCGGAGTGTGTGGACAACGACACTGTCGTTTCCCACAGACCCCTTGTAGTAAGCCAGAACGTTGGAGACGCGGCATTTGCGTACCTTGTGTTTGTATGTTGTATAGGCATATTGTATAAGTACAGAGAGCTGGGATAGGAGAGAGTGCAGAGTCCTCTCTGTCTTCTTTCCGAAATGTTCCCTGTGCACTAAGAAAGCATATCTCTTTCAAAAATGCAATACCAACTAGCCCAAGTAGCCACTCTTTTCGAGAGCTGGACTTGTTGGTTTACATGTTTAGCACGAAAAAGAGAACACACACAGAAAGGGATTGCTCACAGCGATGTAAGAAGACGTTTTTTTTTGTGTTGTACCGATTCTTATAACCGAGGGGTCAGCCATGTCTTTTTTTTCCATCCTCACCATGTACAGCATGAGTAAAAAATAGGACGAAAGATATTCATTTCCTGTCTCAGCCCTTCGCTAATATTGACGTTCTCTTTGCTACATAATCCTTTTCATTCTTTGCAAACACTGTAGTATTCTAGCGCACGAAGCAACACGGACAGAGAAAGTGAGGACAGGTGCTAACTAGCAACAATGTTTATTCAGGAAACCGGTAACCATGTATTTGGCAACATGGCTTTTCAATAATCGGGATTGCACGCACTTTGCAAATTCACAACGTGGCCCTGGTTGCGTGCCCGTCGCGTGTGGTTCAACATGACATGTGCGATCCCGTCCTCATTATCTGCTTTTATGGTCCTAATTTCCTGTCGGTAAAAGCATCGTCATTATCGAGCTTGGTGTAGATATTGTGTTTGCTACCTTTTTTTTAGGAGTTTTATGGCTTTATTATGTGAGCTTTTGCCATTGCAGCGAGTGCGCGGTTTTCATATAAGCTTTTGTTGTCCTTTATCTTTCAATTGGGAACGCTAATTTCATATCATGCACACTGTTCTTGGTTCGGTGTTTGAGTGCGAACTTTTCGACGCCCCATAGTAGTTAGTGTCTTGGGCAAACTGTTCGCAACAATGTGCCAAATGGCAGGCTGAGCCTAATCATTATCGGTTGCATTCTGATTATGGTCGCTTGCAATGTAAATTGTGGTTTGGTACGTAATCAATGAAACATAGTGGCTGCATTTCATTATGAAAACGGGGGTGTCATCTGTAGCACTCAAATCGTGGTTTGTGATTCGATTGCAATGTCTCGAAATTGGGTGCGAGGCTGTGAAATTGAACGATCAGTGTCTTTCAACGCATGAAATTTCAGACGTGATTTGACATAGTTTCTGTCCAATTTGCACAGTTGAGGTGGTCTGGGAACTAGGCAGTGAATATCCACGATGGTGCTTTCTTTTGTTAGACCCCCTTGACACTTTTGCATTTATTTCTTTGGCAACGCGAGTCTTCGGTCGATAAAATATTTTAACATTTGGAAATTTAAGTAGTAGTAAGTTGTGGTGTCTAGGCATGCTGTCAGGACGATCAGAAACGGGAGATAAGGTCTAACAAAACCAGACAGAACATTTATTGAGCTACTTTTACATTGACAATATCGCCAGACGAGTAAAATACATCACTAGTGATACACACTAAACACAACCTTGTGCAATATTCCCAGTAAGACGCTAACGCAGAAAAAAACATAACGATAAACAAGGTAATGCGTCGTTGCTTACGCTTCACTCATTGTGAGAAACCCTGCCAGGAGACGACCATTCACACCAGCTGTTACACGCCAAAGAGACTCGACAATCTTTTCTGTCCGGCCACCTAGCCCCGCTGTTGGGCGTCACTGCTCGGGCTGCCACGGCAATGATGATGATGACAAATGCATGGCCCAATGGTTAAAGCAAAATGCAGTCCATCCGCGAGACACCACGAAGCACAGGCAATATCAAGGGGGTGATTGCAGTCTCACAAAGCACCAAGTATCGCATGCTGCGACTCTCAGACGTGTGAGGCTGCATGCTCGACACGCTTTGCGCAACTGTTAACTTCGGAACTTCGAAAAAAATTCTCTTGGTTAAAGTTTAGATATTTGGACTCCCGTGACTTACGTCATAAGGGATCCATACTATATAAAGAAGTGTGTTTATATGTTATTTCAGTACAACAAGCAGTTCTTCAGTTCACGCATGTCTGCTTTTGTGACATTAGGGAAGGGCCTCTTTGTGGCCTATCTTGTGTTTGGTGCTTACATGCCTCTGGAAGAAGGCCTGGGTTGTACATCTTTTTGCTAAGCAAGCATCCTGCTGCTGTGATTGTGACATGACCTCTGTTATCATTGGAAAGTGATGAATGACATATCTCACAAGTGGAGGACTGGAAGCTGGGCTATTTGGTGGCAATTGGTGACTTCAGAGCATTTTTTGAAATGGCAGAACAATTATGCGCACGAAGTCAAAATAGGGACGCACCACAGCACTTTAGGGAGTCTTTCTTTTGTTTTCGTCGGCATTCGTTGTTGTGTTTCAGAAATGTTGGAGTTCATAAGGGGTGTGGCGTTGTGTTTCAGAAATGTTGGAGTTCATGAGGGGTGTGTGGCCACATCTTTTTGTGTTTGCAGGATGAATCCAGCATTCAACCGTGAGGTGTTTGTGGACTTCATGGCTGCCCAGATCAAGACGCTCTCATTCCTGGCGTACATTGTAAAGATCTACCAGGTGGGAATACCCGGGATGGAACCCCCAAAGATGACTCTGCACGAAATCTTCAGCATTGGCGAGGCACGTACAGAAATGAGGCATGAGTAAGGTGCAAGGCTTCCGTCAGAGATCAGGGTGCCATCTGTAATGCCAGGAGGTGAAGTCGCAGTCACTGAAACAGGTCAGAGAGGCTAGCAAATGGACTGGATTCCTTCTTTCGATCACTTGATCTGCGACTGCCATTTCACCTGTTCCGTCGAAAAAAGCAACAGCTGGACTTCCCAGGTGTGACGCCTTGCATGCATGGCAGTGCAGGCCAACTTTGCTTTAGAGTAAAGCAGATTGGCAGCATGCAGTCTCTCCATTGCCCCTTTTGTCATCGTATTATGCCTGTGGGCAATGATGATTATGGTTGCACAGAGGTGCGCAACAAACATCTTGTGCACATCTTGGTATATCAGTTGCAGTCACGGGTGCAATGATATGGTGTGTGAAGTGGTCACACGCAATCGGCTCAAATGGGATGTTGTGAAGCGACTATTTTGAGCATGCAAATCTTGGCTTAGGCATGGCACACGTTTAAGGGCACAAAAATCTTTATAGGCTGTGTGAGCATTCAAACATTTCAAGTCGTGGAATACTACTCTAACATCGATACTTGCAATGGGTCATGTATTTGAAATATTGGGCTGCTCATGTTTTTGAAACACACTCTGACGATAAAACTGACGATAAAACAGTAAAGTCATCTCTCATTAAGATGAACTCTGTTATGCCAACCCATTACGGAAAGGTTCGTGTGGTTTCTCGTAGACACAATGCAAAGCAAAAAAAAAAAAAAGCTTTTCCTAATATCATGGAAGAGAACCAAATAAGCATAAAAGGAAGGTGGCCAAATTAAGCCAATATCTCGTTTACCCCCCTTCTCCCAGTCTGTGGGGGGAGAGGTGCTGTTTTTATTGGCAAAAAAAAGTGTGCTGACCAATCGCAAGCCACTGGTGTGTGTTTCCCACACAAACTCGTGCAGATATATGCCTTGTGAATCTTGCTTATATGTTGGAATTTGCAACCGACATATGCCCCGTGCTAACCTGGTCACTACCAGGCATATGCTGCAGGAGCGATGGAAAGAGACAGTCCAACCAAAAGACACATCAACATGGAATGTTGCTTTAGCTTCACGTGCCTGTTAGTTAGAATTGAGTATGAAATAGACCGCGTTTGTGGTGCTAGCACTTCTTGAGGGTTCAGATGCATTGACATCACCGAGCACATTTAGTGCTCTGTGCCCAGTGAAGTGCTTATTGTGATGCGTCATTTTCGTTATGGAAGCGCCCAACAAAGGAAGATTATTCTGCATAGTGAATATAATATAGCTACATCATGTATTTTTCATGTGCCAAAGGTTTGGGACCACGAACAGCTTGGAAGGAGATCTTCAGGTGTCCTTTGATTAGGATGAATCACTACAGGTCAAAAATGGGAAAATAACTACTCGAAGAAAAGCTTGCAGACTTTTCTAAACTCTGCATATATACAGGCTTTGTTGTCACGCGATAGCTCATGCAGAAGTGATAATAAGCCAGTAAAAGACAGGCTCACCGAAGAAAATGAATTGCCAGGTGTTCTCCTTCTTTGAAGAAAAGTTGCGTCTCTTCCTGCTTTGTTTTGTTTTTATAGTTTTCTTTTAATCGCCAACATAGAAGTGTGCTACAATTCTCTGTAACTCTTTCTGGTTGCAGTATTCTAAATATATTGAAGAACTGTTGTACTTTTTAAAATTAAGGTTTGCTCACGCCTTCTTTGATTACATGCTTAGCTGTCATTTTTCAAAAATGATTTAGTCTCTATTTTTTAGGGAAGTTCAAGGACTCATTTTGCTGGTCTGTACCACAGGGCCGAGTGTTAGTGCTCACGTGCTTAGTTTTTTTACTGGTCACCTCAAAGTTGCATAATTGTAGTTTCACTGTATTCATTGCACCTTTATGAAACCTTGTTGTGTGCACATTTCAGAGAATGTAGTTCAAAATGCATGGCTGAAGGGGCTGGAGAGTCGGGGCTGGCAAGCTCAGGTGCTTGCCAATTATTGACCTTTTGCTTTTGCATGCATTGTGTTGCATGTCTATTGGCATCTTTTTGCATGTGGAATGCGTACGCACGTAGTCTCTGGAAGGCAATTGTACCGTCAACCGTTGACAGTACTGGCCACATGGCTTGAATTATTTGCGGCTCACATTGGGGGGGGGGGGCGCTGAATAACCAAAACATACTGCTCACTAAATCTGGTATGCTCGCAGACAACTTCTCTTGGCAATAAGCTATAGGGACATGTACTCCTCTACAAAGTTGTCTGGTTTGCCTCACAATTCAAATGACGACGGGGTTGGAATAATGCCATTGCATACAATCTGCGATGTATGCTCAGACAACCGTTTGTTATTGAAATTTGTGACAAGCTCCTTGGCTGAGCCCTCCGAATAGCTGGAGGGCGATGAGCGCTCATCATTAGACGAAGACGCCATTTTCATTGTGAGAAGCATGTAAAACGTTTTCACACGTGCAAAAACTCAAAATGACTCTGCATAAAGTAAAACACATAAAAATAATTTCTTGGTGAATACTGTGTGTCTTTTTAAACAGCATCCTGTAGAGAATAATGTAATCTTGTGATGATTTTCACGCCGAAAACACAGACGCAGTTATGGGACTCTATTTATCAGCGGTGGCACATGCCCACTCTGGCTGCGTAGTGTCCCCTTCATTGCCAATGAAAGTTGTTCACAAGTATAGTACATCTGCCATCTGTATTTGTGTGTTGTAGAAAGTGGCATTGGACCTGTGCCCTAGCATGCCCCTCAACTATACTTTTGTCTGTTGTAAGTCTTTTACTTTTTATAACAAAATAAATGAAGTGACTGTTTCAAAAGGGCATTTTCTGCTGGATCGCTCAGCTTTACTGGTGTGGCTGCCGTGTTTCATTGTGCATTAACAGTCCTTTTCACAATATCGTCATTTATTAGATAACTTCTTCATTTTAACATGTGATTTTCCTGTTGAGCAGTGTGCTCTTTTCTCGTATGCCTTGTAGAGTAGTATCTTCAGATGCTGTGTGTTCAGAAGCTGTATAGTCTTCTTAGAACATTTAGCTGCTGCAGGCCTAGCGTGGAAGAACACATTCCATTTGTTTCTGAGCACCACTGATTGGTTACAGCAAGTGGAATCAGCGCTCCAGCAAGTTTCCAGGACACCACTTTCTATCAACAATAAACAACGGCAAGGTGCCCGTAGATTCGCTTTGTTCAACGCTGACCGTGCCTCCACAGTCCTCTAGTTGTCGCTTTCCTCGACCGTTCTTTGTTACGCACCCCTCGTTCTTTGTTCCCCCGCTACTCTGAGCACACCGCATCGCCACATGAGGCCTGTGTTTTCAGACAGTTGCCACCGATTTTTTGAAGACCGATGAGCTGACTCGTCTGTCCTCAGTTTTTGATCGCTGGTCTCGTTACACTATCGTTGTCGTCGTCGGCCTTAAGTGACCAGACCATCTGTCAATATACGTTGGCCCCCGACCGTACCTGATTGTTTGCATCTCTCATGTCTAGATTGGTGTCTTATTGTTCCAGTGCGCGCACTTGCGCTACCCCACCGTCTTTGATAATTTATGATTAGTTCTGTGTCTAGGACCTGTTGTCGCTCGTTTCGCACTCCACTCGGCATGCCCTCTGCACACGTGCGGAAGCGCAGAAACAGCTGTTACACTGAATGAATTGCACACTATCAAAGTCGGTGGGGCCCCGCAAGTCCTCTGGCGCCACAATGTGATTCTTTAACCTCTGTGCGCACAGGCCACTCTCCCAAATTTTCCTATGCGTGAGTTGTGTATTTCGTGAACCTTTCAAGCAAGCCACTCGACTTGCCTTTCTCCCGCATGTTTGGTTTTCAAGGTCTCCTTCCTGGCGTATGCTCCACTCTCTTCACTCTATCGTAACTCCTTCACTCTCCTCCACCGCTTCGTGACGCCAGACATGCTGGCTCGCATCAAGTTTCTCCTTCTGGCTAGAAAAGAGCCCTGAGCACTTTCACGCTTCTGGGCTTGTATGTAGCATGTGTTTGTCTTGCTTGCTGTTCATGTGCATGTGGTGTCTTAATAGTGAACAGGAGGCCACCCACACCTCGTAAATGGGAATCCATTTATTAGTCAGGTGTGATGGTTAAGGACGTTCGTCACTATGTTTGTTGATAGCGGACGAAAAAGAATTAACATCAACAATGGATGCGAACAAAAGAAGCGTTATATTGTACACTAGAGAACGAAGTGGCAGGTGAAAAATAAAACTATATGTCCAACCCTACACGCCAAGCATCACGCAACTTGTACGAGAGTCAGACCTCTATTATGCGGAAAGCTCGCGGCTACGCTTACTCAGAGTCCAGCACGTATAGTTCTCGCTTCGCAAGAGGAAACCGCTGCCTCACAGTTTGGTTCCCCGTCGTCCCGACATGATGCGGTCGTTGACATGCGCGAGGGCAAAGGTGGCACGGCTGGAACGGCCGGAACGGCTGACGGCACACGGATGCGCTACCGTGTGCAGCGCCGTTTAGTCGGACGTCGCGGCCAGCCCAGCAGTCAGGGTCGCAACACCTGAGGTCCAGGGTCAGGCCCCGGCTCACGAGGACCACGCCCGGTAGGCCTCGCCCACGAACCTGCTCCCGGCCACTGCACCCAGGCAGGAGCCGTTCAGCAGGCCCTGTCCTTGCACCTTGTACAGGCCGGTGGACTCGACCCCGAACGAACACGCTGGAGCTCGACCTGGCCGACACGTACGGGTCCCACGTCCGGCTCAAGAACGCTCCCAGGAACTAGTCCTCTCGAGCGGCGCACTGCTTCGTCTGCCTTCGTGGCCTCAACCCTCGAGCTCGCCTTCGCACGTTCCTTCTTCTTCTCCTCTTCTTTTTCCATTTCTTGTTATCGCCTTCGTGCCACCTGCCCTCCGCTCGTCTTCTTCAGTTTCGGTTTG